AATATTGCTGCTAAATATGAATTAAAGGCTGGAGTCACAGTGTGTGGCACCTGATGGCTGGAATCTGAGTGATCTTGGGGGGATTTACAGAGCAGGGCTGGATCGCGTGTTTGCTGCCAGGGAAGTCTGGATGTAATAAATGAAGCTTTATGCTCAGAGCACACACACAGTCCCATTGCATCTTATTAACTCGCTCAAAATCCAAACTAAAAGGAGAAGTTGAAAAGAAATCATTTAAATAAGATTAAGGGGACTATTCCTTGTAATTACTTTATTTGAATAAGAGTCAAAACATTTGGTAGTAGCACTTAAGCATGAGGAGTTAAATGAAAAGGGAAAATTCCTTAATGAAATCGGACAGTGAACATAAATCATAGTTAATAATTGAATTAATCTGCCTGTCTTATCTCTTGGTTAAACTCGATTGCCTTTTGTCCATTAACATTCAAAATCCACAAAGAGTATGAGCACACCTGGCCTTAGTATTTGCTAAAACAAGACAGAATCAATGGGGACAGCACTTTGAAAGTAATAATTCACACCAGTACTTGAAGACTCAAAGGAACAAAGGTCTGTAATGTCTTATTTTAAGCAGTTTCACTTTGAAACCTATTCAGAAATTTGCCATGGATTAGTATTCAGTTAAACCAAACCCTTCAGTGCTGTAAATTTATGATGCTGAAGTGCTGTATATAAACAACCTGTGCTCCCATTTTCAATATATATTTACTGCTGTATCATGTAATGCTGAATGAATTTGATGTTATTTCTAGTTATGAGTACTCTGGGTTTTCTCATTCCTGATCCTGTTGGGTTTTATCTTATGCACTTTGTAATTCTCTAAGTCCATTTTTAATGACACTGCTATGAATTACTACAAAGAAATTAATGGCTTAATCTTACTACCCTCAAATAAATACTGACTAGGCAATGACTTCAGTGACAGGAGCATCCCTCCAGCTTTCTCTTGTGATTTATAGCCCTGATTCAGCAAAGCTCTTGATCACAGGTATTAAGTTAACCACTTACTTAGGTCCCAGTGATTTGAGGGGAAATCCAGTGTCAGACCGTTGGGAACATCCTGTTAATACTGCATTTGTGCCAGCTGTACGAGAACAACCAGTGGGAAAACACCCACTTCAGTAAATTTACAAAAGTTAGTGTAGAAAACCATGGATTTAACTGTGAAAGGTTCTAGCTCAGCACTGAAGCCAAATGCAGCACCCGGTGTTTTAAGAGGATAATTGTTTGCTGAGTTTCTGTCCCTCCAGCCATGTGCTCCAAGGGGTTGAGCTCCATCAGGTGTCTGAGGAACTTGCAGCTTTTTATCTGCTTCAAACTTACTACACAAGCAGCTCAAGAAAAGCTCTTACTTTTAAGATAAGTGAAGTTATGAGTGGCCCAGATCTGAAATCCCAACTTCCAGCTTCTCTGCGCAACCTGTCCCACCACCTCACCACCCTCATGCTGAAGAATTTATTCCTAATGTCTAACCTAAATCTACCCTCAAGAAGTTCAAATAACCTGTAGTGTCTTGGCATGGTGGTATCATGGTAATGGATCAAGAGAGACTGTTCTTCCTCAAGGGCAGTGTCCCGTTTATCAGGCATGCACGCAGAACTGCCTCCAGTTTTGATGGAAGCTCCTCGTGTGGACTCAGTTTGGGCTGTGATAGAGGCGATGGCATGAATTTGGGATACACAGATTTGAGGACAGTTTTGCCTTAACAAATGATCTGAAGCAGCTCTAAGCTATTCACTTACTAAATCATACCACAGAGCTGTGAACTAGCTGTATCCCCTGATACAAGTTGGGCTTAGCAGAGCTCTGGGAGGGCCTTTTAACAGCGTTTTTGAGCAAGATGTTTTGCATTAGAGAGCAAGGAAAATTGAGGCTTAGTTTTGTGTAAACAAAGGCACTGTAATGCGACATTAGGGGTGGTCGGGAGGAAAAGGCATCACAAACGTGCGAGAGCAGATGTGGCTGCTGGAGTTGGAGACTGGCTTGTCGTGAGGAAGGAGCCGAGCAGGGCCCTTTGAGCTCTTCACTGCACACCTGGAGACCTGGGCTGGAGGGTGGCCACTGGTCCACAGATGGCTGAGCTCCTTGCATGGTGTTTGGTCAAGGGTAGACTTGTCCGAAAGGATGAGTGGAGTTTGTAGGGGTTGATCTTTGAGGCATGAGGAAGCAGCATGCCGTGGCTGGCAGGCTGTGTTGAGAGGGAGACAGGCTTTCAGCTGCTGTTCTGGTTGAGCGCTTTGGAAGGCTCTTAGGAATGGTATAGTTCTCACCACCACCTCTTGGAGCTGAGCTGGGCATCATGGTCTGGTCCTCTGTTCAGCCACAGCGTTCACATCCATGTCTATGTGCTTTCCTTTCTGCTGCAGCTGAGGCAGAATCCCTCCTTCCTGCAGGTTTCCCCACTGGACTTTTCAACCCCGAAGAACTGGTGAGGAGTCACACTGGTGGTGTCACCCATGGGGGAGAGCATGGCACCCAACCAGGGCAAAACCAGGGTGTCTTAAGCCTTTTTCTCCCAGCATCTACTTTCCTTTGCAATTGTTTGGGTGGTTCTGTTAGTGAAAATCATAACGAAGGAAAGTTTTAATTTGAGCAGACAAACAGACACACACAAATAAAGAATGAACTGGAAAAACATCCCCCAAACTCCTTTCCCCTGCCACGCAGTGAGAAATGGAAATAAAGGTGGCCACTGCCTGTACTCGACAACGCTGCCACATGTGATATTTTCGGAGGTATCTCGGGAGCATCTACCACACTTTACAGCATGTGAGGCATGTCATCTGGAGCGGTTTGATCTCCTGTAACCTGTTCACAAATGCATCTATTTCATAACAGGCCCTGCGCCCCGATAAGGATCTCTGAGTTTCTTCTGCGCGGTATCTGCAAACAATTCAAAGCTGTTCCGCACAAACAAATGTGAGAACCCCCTGACCACAGACTGCCTTTAGAGCAGACCAAGATTTGATGTTACTCATATCTTCCAGTACCTGTCAGAGTTCAAACAGGAAACCTGGTTTTTCCTCTCATGTCAACAACTTTTTTTCTCTCTTCACTTCTTTCTCTTCTGAGCAGGCGTTTGGCAGCAGCTCGCGTTCGAGCGGTGGAAGTCCTGTATTTCTTCAGGACAAACAAGTACTTGCTCTGGTACGTCATTGCTGACATTAACAAGAGCTGAATATGTGGTTTTTTTGGTGATCCTGTGGGTGCTTCTATAGAAACGGACCTGTTGGCTTTGAACAATCACACAAGAAAGGGATTCATTCATACAGGATATAGGTAACGCGCAGCTGAGGGCTTACCGCAGATGGTGCTTTGCTTGGGAAATGTCACAAAAAAACCTGGGTGCTCTTTTCTCCTGGGCACTGCTGCATTTTGTGCTTACACAGTAGCACCTCTGTCACTTGTGATATCCTGCTTGCCAGTGCCCCAGCACTGCCACGTGGGAAGTTTAAACACACTAAGTATTCATCTTTACTGATAATGGAGGTTCATATCAGCGTCTCGGCTGTTAACTAAGTGCCATGTCCCCCAAAAGCATTTGAAGAGCCTCATGGCCTGGTCTGAGATCTGGTTATAACCACACAGGTATGTTTTGGCACTGCTGGGAATAGAAATTAGGAGTTCTAGCTGACATACACCCCCCTTAAGCGGTCTCCATTACCTTTCATAATCCCATCAATAAACGTTGTTAAACCTGAAGCTCTCAGCACTTGCCAGCCCAGGGTTGGAAATGCTTTAGAAACATTTCAACTTAACCTCCCCATGAATGTGGGAAGGGAAAGTTTATAGCAGAGAATAATTCTTGACATAGATTAGTGTTTGTGAAGGAAAATGCCGACTCTCTCAAGGAACGGGCTAGTTCTGAGGATCATTTTCTTCCATTTGATTTATGGTTGACAGATGCAAAAAGCATCTCAAATACAGCTGTGTTAAGAAAAGAGCACACAGGCATTTCCATGACTTTCATCTTGCTTTGCATTTATGTCATTATAAAACATGCTTTTGTGGCATGCATAATCAAGGGACAGAACATCTGGTGAAGTCTTGTTGCGGCAAAATGTCTGTAAAGTTAAATATGATAGTTGCCTTTTTTTTTTGTCTCTAAAAAAAAACCAATCAACAAACAGCTGGATAATATTATGACTGGTAATAATACTGGGAGCGATACATGCCGAGATGGTGGTTACAGACTCACAAGATGGAGAGGCAGAGAGAGGTCACAGAAGCTCTTGTTTGTGAGCTGCGGCAGATGAGCATGAAACGGTGGCTACCTCTGAGCTGCCTGCAGAGCCACAGGTAGAACAGCCTTCGTGAGCCAGCAGCCACCCTTGAAATCACACAGGCCAGTCCACTCATATGCTTGGCTCTTTATTTCCACATTTTCAGTAGGGTTTCGGCCCAAATGCTGAAGTTATTTTGATTCCATTGCATGTTTCCAGTAGCTGTTTCAGGAGTCAAGCACTTTAGATAAAAGCTGATGTCTGAAGGGTCCTGGAAAATCATAGAATAGCATAGAACACCAAAAGGGACCTCAGGGATCATCTGGGCCAACCTTAATGGCCCTGTTGTGCTGTTTCTGTAGCTTAGTGCTGTTGTTCAGCGTGGTCCTGTTGAGAAAAGATCTTCACCTCTTGCTCCCTCAACCCATCTCTGCCTGAAGTGCTTGTAGACCAGGGGCAAGAAGAAAGGAATTACTTGCATTCACTAAAATAAATCTTTTCTCTCTCATTTTCTAACTCTTCATATTCCTTGAAACTTCAGCAAATAAATTCCAGGCTTGTAAGCCTGATTCAGAAAAGAAACACGTATACAAGCGAAAGTCAAGTACCAGCTGTAACATCCTGCTGAATAAATAAGTACCTGTATTTCAAACCAGCAGCTCATATCAGAAATTAATATTAAAGCATTGACAAGCTATTAAGTATTTGCCTTCTCCTTTACAAAACATCTGGATGGGTGCACTTGGTTATCCATAGGTTCTTTATTTACTGACCATGGTTCCTGAGAGTTGAGCCTGCCTCTGAGGATGCTGGTGCATGAGCATGGGTTCTGCAGGTGTGCCTGACTGGGCTTCCCTTCCTGGGGTGACATTACACAGGGTGGTGAGTGACACCCTGGGAGCTGGGTGCTGATTAAATGGGTTAGTTCATTGTGCTTCCATTCCCCAAAGGCAACTAAAGGCACCACCACGTTCAGAGATATCTCCATGAGAGCACTGCTGATGCCCGCTTAGTCAGGGGTGTGATGAGCCGCAATTAGGTAAATTCAAGTAATTACAGTCAACTACTGTTTTAGGGCAAACTGGGCTTTACCCAGTAATTGCAGGTATTACTGTTAGCAGTATGCACACAGTGGTATGTGATTTTATGGTTGTGAAGTCTTGCTAGTAAGAGAATTATTATTGCTACTAGTCTGTGCATCTGTGAGAAAATGGATAATCCTGTTGCTTTTCCATGGGTCCTGTTACAAATGGGAGACCTGATCACTCCATAGTGTTTAGAAAACAAATAGGGAGATTAGCATGTGAGTTAGGAGCACATAGTCATGTAACCTAGCATCTACAGCAGTTGTGATGAACACAAGCATTGGGATTTATGGAGGGTTTTAAACCAATTGAACAGGCCTATGGAAGATGTAACATCATGTCTATGATGGTCTGCCTTCCCCTTCAGCTCCAGCCATGCCTGGACAGGCTGTCTGCAATGTGCAAGGATCTCACTGGGGAAACACGAGCATCCCTGGCTGCTGTCAGAATCCTATTTGAGCTGGTACCAAGCGCAGCAGTCACATGCTGCAAGATCATCACTCAGGCCAGTGGCAGTCTGCTGAAAAACAAAGGGTTCCTGAGCAGTCAAGACAGGAAGATAAAGCCCTGCCGTGCTATTTAAAGCAGGGCATTTATGCCTGAATGAAGTTCCTCCAATCTTGGAGCAGGGTGTTTGCCTGGAAAGCTGGTATTTACATTCCACCCCAGGGACTGAGGCACCCTTGCACGCTTTCATGTAGCTCCTTTCTTCCAAGTTTCTGCTTTACCTCCAGCATCGTTACTCCCACAATTACAACGTTCAGCTCCCATCAAGCCATTTGTAGCTTTATTTTTGATGAGCAGTGCACAGAGGCGCAGACAAGAGCAGTCTGTAGCTCATTACCCTGCTCAGATAAAATGCTGTGTGCTTTGGGGCAGCCCCGTGCCTTAGGAAAACGGTGGTTTACAGATGGGGAGTAGAGACAAAGAGCGGGTGAGCGCCTGGCCCGCGATCCCACGGGATGCTGGAGTGGTATTTCTGTCTAGTGCCCTAACCACTGAACCATCCTGTCTCCTGCTTTCGGGCAAAAGAGTCTGAAAATGCCATTGATTAGAAAGTGCTGGTGAAGAAAAGGTGGAACTGACTAGACTGCACCAGGAGACGTGCAAAACCAAGCAGAAGGCACTACACAGCGTGGTGGAAATTAGCTTCATAGAACTTCTTTCTGCTTTAATAATCTCAGATGCTATTTAGAACACAGGAGCAAGGAGATGTCTGGGGTTTGAAAAAGCAAGATATTATTTTAAGCAGCTAAATTCCCTTTAATTAGTCTGAAATTTGGGCTTTATAACAATGTATTTCCATGTGTGTGCCAGAAAGTCAGGGAAACATGGAAATCATTGGCAGTTCACTGCTGGGATACAGCAGATCATCTCAGTGAGACCTAGAGACATTTTCTGCTGGTAGAAAACATTTGTTTGGTGGTCCCTTTCCTTTGCTTTGTCATCTCCCACTGCACATCTGGTTTGGGATGGAATGAATCAGGTTGTTTATATGAAGCAATATTTAAATGATTTTGGGGCTTTGTAAGTCTGGAAAAGTAATTGTCATCTTGGTGCTTATGATTTGAAGCCCTTTTGCTACCCCGGGTGAGCTTGGGTCACTGTGCAAAGCAGAGATGTGTTTGCCCTCAGTTGAACAGATGTGGGTAGAAAGCTGCTCCTGTGGCTGCTCAGCACCAAGGTGGTCCTGAAGGGGATTTTGGAACCTACCACAATGGGGTGTTATCGGTTGGGATATAAGTTGTGAAACCTCTTTGTGCACAGCCCTTAATGGGTGATGGAGGCGCTGGGTCCTCTCCTGCCCTGCTGAAGATACAGGGTACAGGAGCCCCTGCTGCGGAGCAGGGTTCAGGGTGAGTGTGTGCAGGGGAAGGGAACGATCTCACACATTTTCCATTTAACTAACCACAGGCAGTTTGTTTTCAAGCACTTCGGTTGTTGCTGCGGTGGGAATGGGCCACATCGCACGAACCTCCCATTGCCGCTTCCCCGACTGACACCCCAACACACTGCAGGGCTCTGGGGCTGGGAACTGTCCTGTGCCTGGCTCAGTGCAGGGCTGCTGAGAGTCCCTGCTTGCTCCTTCTGAAACCCTTGGAAGACTGAAGGTATCTTCCCCCAAACCTCTGGTTGCCTCCATGAGGTGTCTGCTTGGCCCCAGCTTGGCTCCTACCACCAGCTCCTCTAAGAAAGGCAATGCAGCCTTGACACTGAGCATTAATTCATAGAGTCATGGAATGGTTTGGGTTGGAAAGGGCCTTAAAGCTCAACCAGTTCTGCTGGCACCAAGTGGGGAGCACAAAAGAAACTTTATAGGAAAGAAGCCCCCATCTCCTCCTCCTGCCAGGGCGCTGTGATGGGAGCACAGAGCAATGCTCTTTTCTGTCTGGATTTCTTCGCTGCCCTTGTTTCCAAGGTTGGAGCAGGTAGTTGTGTTCACAGGTGGACTTTTGGTCTCCAGTTTTCACACAAATGCCTGTGCAGCTGGGAAGGAAACATCACCTTGAAAGGGAGTATCTTGTATTTGCACCTTCTAACACGGCTCTGTTGTCCGTGGTTCCACCACAGGAACTGTGGGCAGCTGAGGACACCCCTGTGGGTTCCCCATCCATCCCTGCGTGGGGATCACACCATGTCGGATGCCCCTTGGTTGTTCCTCCCTTGGGAGAGCTCATGGCCTCCCAGATAACACCAGGGAACCCCAGTGCTCAAGAAGGGTGTTGGCAGCTCCTCTCTCAGGGGTTCTATGGCCTTAAAGGAGGTGAAACCTTGACTTTCCAGAACTTACTGACCCGGGAAAGAGAAGAGCTGTTGAAATAAATGCAGTGTAGAACAAAAGTGAAAACTGCCCCAATCGGGTATTTCACACTCGCTGTAAAATCGAAACCTGATTTCTTTTTCTGTGTTAAAAAATTCACTGCTTTTTTTCCCCCTTCCATTGAGACATGAGTTATTTTCAAATAAAGAGATGAGACTTTGTTTAGAATCGAGTAAAATGTGTCCTGTCTCTAAGCAAAGGGGATTTGCAATGGGAATACCTTGGTTCATGCAGTGACATGCATGTGCATGTTCCTATGTGAGAACTCTGCTTGGCAAAACTGAAGCTGGGTGATGGTGTCTGCAGCATCACCCAAAAGGGGATTGAGAAGGTGCTGCACAGCCACACTCACAAGCTGTTTGCCAAGCCAGAGAAAATACCCTTTTCCTTCTATGTGTTTTATAATGTGTTTTCTTTGGGCAATTGGGCATCATTACAACAGGAATGCCAGCCATACTTCCTTAGCATCGTATGGTGCCGTTATTAAATGAGTGTGGCTTATGTTAGTGAGCTCAATGACCTGATTTTCCCATGATTTGCACCAGTGTCAGGCTTGACAACAGCTCACCTATATCTGCTCGTCTATATGATTACTGCACGGTCTCATCCATGGGCCTGAGATGTCTCTGATGGCTTAAGGAGGAGCTAAACAGAGCCCAAAGTCAGATATTCATTTCAAGCTCATAATCATCTTACTTTTCAGAATTACCTAAGGAGTTTTTTATCATCCCATCTTTGAAATTATATTATTTTCTTGTACTTTTGCAAATCCCATCCCTGTTTCTGCGAGCTCCCCATCCTTCCCAGCCATTCCCCTCTTCCCATCAGCTTTGTTTAACAGAAAGTGGAGTTGGTGTGTGCTCTGTGGTGAGTACAGTGATCACTTCAGCTCTGCTCAGGGCTGCACTGCAGTGAGCTGAGACATCAGCAAGTCTCAACGTGCACGTGGAGCTTTTAAGGCTCTGAGTGTTGTAGGGTTTTCTCAAGTTGGGCTTCCTCCCCTGTTGTAGCTGGTGTTTTGGACGAGAGGTACAGGAACAAGATAACCAGCCAAATGTAAAGAATCCCTTAAATGTATTTGATCAGAGAGAACAAAGATTATGAAAGGTCAGGAAAAGTTTCTCCTCCACCATTTATTGAAAACCTCATGTTTTCTTGCATGTATCATTTGGGTGATGAATAAAGAATGAAAGACAGATCCAGTAGCTTCTAATGTGTCACAACTGTAGATGAAATAGGTCAGTGAACCCGTTTGTTCTCACACAAGAACACTGAGGAGCCTTTCACAGGCATAAACCATCCTTTAACACAAGTGTTCACACAGAAAGCAAACCAAGGTAACCACTTACAATCCAATTCCTGCTTATCCCCGCTGATGCCCATAGATTCTGTGTGCTGTAAACGTGTAGCTTGAAACAGGAATGTGTTGCACAAGCAGCACAAGGGCAGTGTCCGGGCAGGACACAGCAGGAGCTCTTACACATGGGCTCCTCCTCTGCTGGGAATGAGCAGTTGAAGTTGCTCCATGGAAGATTATCAACTCCAATTGGGAATGGCAGGTGAATCCCACAGCCCAGATTATGCCTGATCTCAGCCTGAGGGCACCAGAGGTGCAGGGGAAATGAAGATAAATGGAGTTATCTCCTTCTGATGTGGGGCAGGCAGAACTAACTCATTTCACACTTACACCAAGCAGGGGAATTCACTCACTTTTCTATTCATCACTAAACCACTACCTTGACCATAACACGATTTAATGCATCTCAATTCTTTACGATCAAGAAGTGCCAACCACTAATTTCCAAACACTGTTTTCAGTCCACAGTGACCTTGTCCTGGAGATGAGGCTCTTTATCTCCTACGTGGTTTAATTTCTGTGGGCACTGTCACCATCTAGTGGCATCTCCCGGGTGGTTTGCAGGGGCAGCTCCTGCATTACTCTCCCAAGGGATTTGCCCCCTGGACACTCATTTCTCCCACTTATCAGGACTGGCTTTACCAATTTGCAAGTTAAAAGCCTGCAGGTGTGATGGCAGCTTTATCAGGCAGATTCTTCCCTCTGCTCCTGCTGGGGAGCAGCTCACTCTGGTCGAACAAGGAGGATTTCCATGGTAAGACATCTCCATGAGACTGAAGGGTTGTGTTTAAAGGTGTTGGGGCACAGGAGGAAAAGCCTGTGGGAGAGTTTTGTGCTCTTCAACACTCAGGCTATGGCAGAGTGGAAATGCTGGGAGTTGTGACCAGCCAAAATGCTCTCTGGCAATAGCAGAGCAGGGATGGGTGTGTGTGTGTGTGTGTTAATCATACAGCCATGATTATGTTATTTAGTGGTTTGCTTCAGTTCACAAAGGAAATACAGAGCAAAGACACCCCTTGCTTACAGCTCCGGTCTCTGTGCCATCCCCTCCAGCGTGAAACATTCTCTCCTCGTGATCAAAGCCCAGCTCTCACTTTTCTGTCTAATGCTGAAAAACTGGAGATGAGCAATGCTGTGTGTTTTATCCTCAATTGCTGCCCCTTTGCTGTATCCTTGACAGCCTTTAGTGGGTTTCTGTGATGTCCCATGGCTGGGTGATGTGTTCATGGCTGCTCCTCTGCAGAGCACAGAGGTGATACTAGAGAGTGATACTGCTTGTTGAGTGGTGGTGCCTTGATTTTACTGGGGTCATTTCTACACAGGTAAGGAAACACGGGCAAAGCATCAAAGCAGTGATTTCCCCTTGCCCAGACTGGGATGGGACAACAAGCACTTGTGATGTGGCTCTCTGCCTGGTACTGTGGGTTCCTCAGAAATGGTTTTCAGTACCATAAATCCCTATTACTTTACATAATAATGTTCCTTTTAGGTGCTTCTCTTCTATACTCAGCTTTGGTTTGAGTTTTCTCAAGGGGCCTGTCCTGGTCGCACTCAAACAGCCTTGGACACTCAGATAACACCCCTGCTTATGCCCCATCCATAGCACTGCAAGCTAAATGTGGCTTTTCAGCTTCCTATTTGTAAGTTTAAATGAGCCTTTCCCCTCTCCATCTGCCTCTCCAATTACAAGAGCCCTGTGAGCAAGGCAGAGAAAGCAAAGTGGGAGCTCTTCTAAGAACAGGGAAGGTAACCACATCTGACACAACACGAGCATAACCCTCCCAAAGAACAGAAAATGAAAATTGCTGCTTTTAAGCCAATTAAACAACTGTGAGGGGTTTTGCTTTTTATTTCCTTAATTTTTCTTAGCTTACTATTATTTCTGGCTGGAGCTTGGAGCTAATGCAGCAGAATGACACAGCAAATGGATGGATAGCTTCCTTGCACTACCTACTAGCTTCTTCTATGATGATTTGATATAAACTACTAAAGAACTGTATGATTGCTGCTCAAAATCTGAGTTAGGTTGTCAGAGCTGAGGTATTGTGAGTTTTATGCTCTATTGTATATACGACTTTGAGAACAGAGAGCTGGAGCCTGTGATTGATTTCTATGTTTTATTAGATGTGATTATAGGAGCATCCATCTCTCCATGGAGCAGCCAGACATTTCTGGCATTAAAATGGGTTTAATGGTGGGGGGAAATGAAAGACATTAGTGAAACAGAGGAAGGTAAATGCTCTGTAAAGATCTTTCATATGGAGGGTTACTGGTGTGTCCCTGGAGCCAGGTTGGATAGCAGTTAAGAGTTTGTCTTAAGAATGGCCTAAAACACTAAATGCCAGTTCTTTTGACCAAGATGCATATAGAGTTTCTCTTCAGTCAGAGGGGGATGCAAGCAAATACAGGAGAAGTTTTGGCTCCAACTAACATG